GGATGTCGTATCCGGATGCTATCCGGACCCGTTACATTCTCCCACACTCAAACTTGATTTCGGTATACTTAACCGAACGTGGGACAGGGATTGAGAATTCGGAACGACCGTTGTCGTCAGTAGTCATTGTGACAAAAGCGACGAAAGCGAAGGATGAGCACCTTCGGAGCGTCGAACTGGGGCGCCGATGACGGCGGCAATGGTGGCGGAGCCCGGAACAGCCGGGGGCGTAACTACGAGCGCTCTGGACCGAGCGCACGCTCTCCGTCGCGGAAGCGACGGTGCGACGATGACCGAGGGCGACCATACTGGCGGAGCATGCCGGATTTTGTGGTGACCTCGGTAAGTGCGGACGATATTTTCATCCGCACGGATTGGACTCTCCCAGATGTGGGAGACGCGGACTACCCGATGGACCGGGTGGTGTCCTGAATGCGAGCGTTGGCTCGAAGCGCGGAAGAGTGTGCGCGCATGGAGGAATGTCTAGCTCCACGCAGCGAGTTGCTGCGGCAATACCTCGATGGCGTCGAGGTGGACGTCAATGTCCTCATTGACATGCGGCCGTGGCGTGCGTCAGCGATGAAATTCGCTGAGTTTTGCGGCGAGCGCAAGTAACGTAGCGAGACCATCGCCAATGTTCGGGTCGCTCCACTGCAGGAGGAGACCATTTGGGAATGCGTTCGGCACTGGCACCTTCCGCACAAGGCGTGCCCACCAAAGCCCAACGTGCTCGACACTCCTCCATGCGCGCATACTCTTCCGCGCTTTGAGCTAACGCTCGAATTCCGGACACCACCCGGTCCATCGGGTAGTCCGCGTCTCCCACATCTGGGAGAGTCCAATCCGTACGGATGAAAATATCGTCCGCACTTACCGAGGTCACCACAAAATCCGGCATGCTCCGCCAGTATGGTCGCCCTCGGTAATCGTCACACCGTCGCTTTTGTCAAGGAAATCAGGAGGTCCATCTCCTGGCTCTTCGTGATGAGAGCAATGTTGATGTTATCGTGCCCGCGTAGCGTGCGGGCGAAAGAGAGATAGCTCATCTCTGGCAGCTCAGAGATCTCAGCTGCAGTCAGCGGCAACTCGGACAGGTCGCAGGCTGAGAGGATAAAAGCGTGTGCATCACGCGTCGAGTGTCCACTGGGGGTGGAATTCGGACCATCGCCGTTCATGGCGGTTCTCGAATCATCGCCAAACGTGGCGGCATCGCCAACCATGGCGGCTCCCATATCATTGCCACCCGTGGCGGAAAGTACGTCCAGCCTCGTAGCCGAGGAGGCGCGTGACTAGGGTGGACGGATGCGATCTTGCGCATGGTCTTGGATCGCCAATGGATCTTGGGTTGGTGTTCCTCCAACCATCGCATGCCAAGGATCAAATCCCAGCGGTCATCGAGGTCGATGACGTAGAATTGTTTGGTCGAGACAAAATCTCCCACTGACGTGGGAAGGTCAACAAGGACCTTCGGTGAGGTGACAACCTTGCCATCAGCCATCTTTACACGCACGACGGAGTGCGGCGATGCGCGCTGGGTGGCACCATCGTAAGTGGAACGATTCAGCTGAATCGTTGCGCGTCGGGCATAATTTTCCGACGCACCGCTGTCGATGAGGACGCGGAACAAACGGTCGTACCCAGAGATACGACTGTGGAAGGACAACATGCGGGAAGGTTGTCTTCCGATTTGACACAGAATCACTGTGTCCGAGGCAGGGCCTGCTGATCGTGTTATGCCACCACGATCAAACCGCAAGCCCTCTGTAGCCTCAGCAGGACGCCTCGCGCCCACTGAGGAGTCCCGTTTCCCCGCCCGCGAGGAAACTCGCGACCACCGCGTGCGCGATCGACAACGGGATGCGGCAGTACCACGAGCGGATGTCGGCGCACGGCGTGGTTGGCGAAACTCGCGGGAGAAGTGTCCCGGTCGGTTGCAGTTGAAGCAACGACGGTCGGTGGTGGGTGAGGTCATAGCAGAGACCTCCATGTCATGTGGGTCGCAGGTCTTGGTCATGGTGCGCGATTGGTGAACCGAAAACTCTTCGACCAGCGCGGTGTGGACGGCATCATCGAATGTCGAAGGATATGTCCGAAAAAGCCGCGTGCGCGCAGCTGAGTCGTTGAGGCTGTTCATAAAAATAGTCACCTTAGTCTCTTCGGAGAGCGAAGACTTTTGGGTGACACAGGATGCAAGTAAGCGCAGATCGTGGACGTACTCACGAATAGAGCGCTTGCCTTGCCTGGCAGATAGGTACTTCGCGCCGGAAGTCGCTGTTCACTGGCAGGAACGCTGCCTTCACTTGTTCGATGAAATCATCGAAATTGGCAAACGCGAAGTCAGCTTCGCAAGTTAGGCCCCAGGCCCAATCATCCGCACGACCAGTAAGGTGCGACATGCCGAAAGACACGCGGATCTCATCGTCATCGATGTTCAAAGCATCCGCGGCACGACTAACTTGCTTCATCTAACGAAGCAGTTGGTGGGAGGCAAGTCCTCCATACTTGGGGACTTCGAGCTTTACGGCGCACTGCTTCTGCTTCGAAGCTGTGTGCGCGGACATACGCGCAGTCGTGTGATGGAGGGTGTCCTCCAGAGCACGTCCTCGAGCGTTGAGGTCGGCAACTTCTTGTAGCGCGGCATCGCGCTCGGAAGCAAGCGATTGCGCTTGCGCCGCAATGTCTTGCCGAGCATTCTCGCCATGGCGAGCAAAGCTTTCAACAAGGTGGAGCTGCGCTGGAGGCGCCAGCGCGTGGATCAGGCTCCAAGCTTCTTGTTCCACGAGAGCGGAACACATGTGTCGGATCGTGACAAGGTGGTTCTCCGAGAATTGGGCAGAGGACATTGCGCGGCGGAGGGGAAGGTCGATGGACGAACTGGAGTGCTACCAGGTGTAAAAGGGCGCACAGAGGAAGGTGTGTAGATCAAGGTATATTGTTAACTGAGAGAACTAGTTATCTCTGAGCTGGTTTCCTTGGCGTACGGCTGCGCACCAGTCATGCAATTCATGTCAAATGAATGGTGCTGCTGCGGATGTCGCAGAGCCAGTGATTCAAGACACTTGGATTGCCAAGTGTCCTCTCGGGACTAGCTGGTAGGAAACGTGGTAGTCGTAGTAGGCATGACGGAAGGGGTGCGCTCAGTAGTAGTCGGAACTGAGCCGTATTTGGTGGTGGTAGGAGGCTTTAACTTCAATCAACACTTCGAGGGTGTCCAAGAACGTGTAAAAATCACCATGACATTGCTCTAGCTGTGCGTTAAGAGAAGCACGACATCGCGGTTACGAAGCGCTGGTGGTAACCGCATGACTCTCAAATTGCTGGTTGTGTGAACAATACGTGTCATCCGTATAGTATACGTTCAATCTACCTATCTTACTTTTTGTCCGAAAGGAGCCGAAATGTACCTCAAATTTGAGTATATTCTTGCCCGAAAATGTTGTTTTTCTACTTTTGAGTTAGAAATCCCAACCTCCAATTCTATCTCAAATCCAGTGTCCGAAAACTCTCTAGAGAGTTTTCGGACATTGAATGAATCGGAATGGTATATTATACTAGTACAGTACTTACTGTATACTTATACTGTAGAATGCACTGTACTACGGTAGTATAGGTATTATTGGACAAAGCAATCCGCTACAAAAAACCAACTGCTTCGTGAGGTTCAGAACGATTACTACACTACAAGGAAAATAAACGGAACTGTTCGTGTCGTACGTGGATAGAAAATAACCCTAATCCTCGGACGTCGTTCATGGGTGCAACGAGTTTACTGAAAGTACGGTACTTACCTTCAAGAAACTGAAGGTAAGTACTTTCAGTATTCTCGTTTACTCTCAAATTAAAAGTCACGACTCAAGAGCACCCGTGCTGCAGCGTAATATACATACATACATGTACGTACTATACGTATAGTAGTAGGTCATACTAGTACTCAGTACCATTGTACCGGTACTCGCAATAGAAACAAGTGGAATTTTTTAACGATCGATACAGTACAATACCGTAGTTACATACTACGTAGTAGTCGCGTGCTTTGAGCTGCTGTTTGTGGTGGAAAACAATCAAAATGTTATCAAATGACACTTTCCAATAGTAAATCGACAAAATCCAAACAAAGGTCGAACTCCTATTCGAGCAGGGGGTACGCATCTGCATGTGAAGCCCAATCTTACTGCTGACGACATTGAGGGAGGAAACCACACGAGGCATGGCAGCAGTAAGTGCAACGCCAAACCAGCTACAACCTGATCGTGATTACGTCAGAATTGAGTGCATAGACAAAATTGTACATATTATTGACCGATAGCACCAGTTGAAATGGCGGGCTACACGTTGAATAAATTCTATGTAGTTCTTACTACTAGTACATAGTAGGAAGTACTACATAGTAAGTAGTTGATGATGTACCATAATCGAATACTATACTGTACGTACGTACTCTTTTACAGGATGCAAACACTTACTAATGTTATACTAGTTTCATACAAGTGATATTGTCCTCTTACCCCAAATTATTTGGATTTTTGTGCTGACAGATCGCCAAATCTATCGATCGATTCTTTGTACTGACTTTTGTACTTCGAAGTATGTAAAAAATCGTTTAGTGTCACACTAATTTCAGCCACATACTAATTCGATGTTGAAGTGAGGCTGGATTTGATTGGCCACTTGATTCGTGTTCTGGGTTTTGATTGGTCGGTCGATTGTCTGCCGATTTGGTGCTGCTCATTCGATCAAATTTCGAATAGTTATGCTTGTCTAATACATTCCTCAACAAGCAAGCAATACTGAATATTCGGTACGTAGTAGAAAGGTGTCGTGGGGTGATTCGAATCACATACCAATTGAAGTCACACACGAATTCGATATAGATACTGGTTTCCTGCAATCGGATTGGCCAACTATTTCTGCTATTTAGTTGTATTCATTATTCTCCCTCCATTTTAGAATAGACCCAACAATACCTGTTTATATGTATCTACTATCTCAACACCCGCACAACACTGTATATGGTAAGTATATCATTATTGCAAATCCAATGTCGTCGTCACCCAGTGTTTTGGACCAGAGGTGCATAAGCAGGTGGCGCAGTTTGAGTGTGATTGTGCTGGTAAGGTGCAGTCATAGTGTCATATAGATGCGCGTTGTTGTACTGCATCTTGAGAGGCATGCGAATCTCCTGGTAGCCTTTGGATCGGCGGCGCTGGGTGCACATGAGATAGCAGGACAGGAACACCAGCGCCATTTCAAAGCCTCCAATGGCGGCCACCACCACGCCAATCATTTCACTAGATAGAATACATATATATATATATATATATATCAATATCAATATATATATATATATGGTCTTGACGAAATATATGTATATATATATATATAGATGTATATACGCCAATCAATTCACTAGGTAGAATATATCAGAAACATGTATATGCGGTATTGACGAACTATATATATATATATACGTACGTCAATCATTTCACTAGGTAGAATATATATATATTTATAGATGTACCTTTGGTTGTCCATCCAAGTAACGAGTTTGATTTCGCACGAACAAAAGAGCGCTTGTTCGGCCAAGATGGTCACATTTTGAACGATGGCTTCGCCGGCACACTGGAATGTCCCCGTCAAACGAAATAGACGTTAACGGATTGTGTACCTTTTGAAATGGGCTGCTCGGCATCAAGTCGGCCGCGGTGATCATGCACCGCTGGGAAACAAAGTCGGCAAACCAATTGTATGAAGAATCGCCTCCGATGCATTGCACCGCCATGGCGCCGGTCGCAAACGTTTTGGTGAGGTCGACTTCAGGCGCGCACATGGAGTACGCGTGCTTGAACACTCGATGGAGTTCGCTCAGGATGGCCGTGTCTTCCGTCGTCAACGCCTCATGTTGTACGTCGTAGTCGAGGTCGCTTAGCTTGACGAGGGACTTGTGCAGTTGGAGCATGAACGCCGCAAGGGCGAGCTGGGACATGATGGACACTGTCACCTACAGCCATTCAAAACACTAATGAACGAACATGCCAATCACATGTGGCACGGTCGAGGCAACATACCAAGGTCGCGTATGGGCAGAGAAACACTTTGCTTTCCCAGTGCGCGCCGCAGCATCCCAGCACGGCCACGAGCACAATCAACACGCCGGACGCAATGATTGCGCCCGAGATCGTATCGGACGTGAACTCGTTGAGGTCCGGGGAGGAGATCATGTAGCCGCCGATCATGATGAGAAGCCCTCCCAGCACGAGGAAGAGCACATTCGTGAAGATCAGCACTAGGCGGGAGAAGTTGCGGCACTTGAGCGCCACCATGACGTTAGGGTGACGACGGTCGTTCGGGTGTTGGAAGAGGAACGGGAAAAAGGCTACGCAGACGTGCCGGGGAGCCAATCAGATGCCACAGACATAATTATCCATACTTGATTGGCTTAAATGAAAACTAATCCACCAATCGAATCATGGGTTCAAAAAATGCGTCCAACGGACAACTGGCCTGGAGCTCTGTATTTAATCCTCGGTTTACAGTAGTATTACAGTAGTTATACTGGAGTTTTCTATAACCCAACCTTGTGTAAGTACATTTTGTACCACTGGATCTAGTACGTACCAGGTAGTAGTATAATTTTACAGCACTGGATTTCCTAACGTTACGTACTACTAGTAATACTACTACTACTACTACTACTAGTAATACTACTACTACTACTACTAGTAATAATACTACTACTACTACTACTAGTATTTGCACGCTCTCCACGTTCGTTTTACTGTTAATATCATCAAATGTATAGTATAATACACCTGCTTAGTAACGTTATTGAAATACAGTACGAACCGTATCATACGCTGAACGATGATTGGTTGATATTTCCACACAATACAGGGATTTACTTGCATCGTTCGATTCTGCTTGCGCAAATTCGAATGACAATACCAGTAGATATTCGAAGCTGAAAAAAAAAATAAAAAATATATATATATCTATATGCTGCACACAACCACACCTCTAGACAAGCTTTCGAATACGACAGATATGCCCCCCAGGCAATGCGACGTATACCACTGGTTGGTGTTGCCATTTGGTCCATTACACCTGAGAGCAGGGCGGAGATTTCGAATTCCAAAAACCTTTGGAAATGCATATGTCCTGTTTCAACACAGCCATGTGAGTTACCACTTTTGGGATTTCATGTGTCCGCTGCAACACCCATCAATATCTCCGCACCTCGCTTCGTTGTATGCGATGCACGGCCACATCGGTGCACAATGAACACCCAATGACTTGGCATATCGAGCTCCGATGACAATACATACTACTGCAGGGACGATGGTGGGCTTTGTACTATGTATAGCCTCTCACGGTGAAGCGGATGGGGTGGAAGAGGAATAAAACGCCGAATGATTAGCCATGCATCTTGAGTTTAACGATACGTTTTACTAGTCTCTATCTGTGGAAGCCAAGGAGTTTGAATGTACTTCTATGGCGTGCCCTTCGAAAGAATCCCCCTTAAGCCTTGACGTCGCCATTGCAATGGTAGGTAGACAATACATATCCACAATCTGTCCCCACCAACGCCAACGTCCAGGTGCCATGAGATCGTGTTGATGCCCGCCCCTAGCGACAGTAACACGCCTTTACAACACCACGACTGCGTTTTAAATCCAGCGCGGGCGTAAAAACCGTCGAAACAATTTAACTCGGATCGCGTTATTCCCGTCGTAACGAGGGCTGGTCGAACAGCGGGTGGTGATTGGTCGATAAACTGGGCGGCAAAAAAAAGATCAGGTGCCGGTCCTAGTTCCACCAATCAGAGAACGCGTGAAATTCGGCATTCGGTATAAAATAATAGAGGTATCCCCCTGAGAGCCAGGGCAAGCCAATATTCTTCCTTTTTCAGCACAGCACCACCACAAGACAAGAGATATGGCGGCGAAGACGACCGACCGGCGATGGAGCTTTGTCCGCGCGCAAGAGTTCTTCAGCGGCGACGGCAAGCCAGACACGTACGCCTATCTTATCCATGTTTGCTAAGGAAGTGATACTCATGCTTCATGCGTATGTAGACTGGACATCCGCGGAATGACGGCGGCAGCAAAGGGCGTGTCGTCGAAGCGCCAAAAGTTCCGTATGAGCGTTGTGAAGAACGGCGTGACGATATACGGGTCTAAGCCTTGTCCGAACGCGGAGAACGAGCTTGGACAGGGTCTCTTGGGCCCGTCGGCGTCGACCCCCACGGCGAGCGCCGCCGCCGCTGCTGCTGCTGCACCTCTGAAGGACCGTGAACGTATTTTTATTGAAGATCCTCGCGCACCATGCCTCGCCATCGACTATAGCAACGACACGTACAAGATGATGCCGTCGATCGAACGGTTTTCTGCGCATACTGGCGTGTGCCAGATCCTCGGCACCAAGCTGATTCGTGGCGGGAAGCATCAGGTCGCGGTTGGGGACATTCTTCGCTTTGGGTCGGTGGGCTTGCTTGTGACGGAGATTGACACGGGTCGAACTGGCGCGTCCGACGCGTCCCTTTCCCCTGCGGACATTACGCACCTGACTCAACGCCTGGTGTGTCTGGACGAGACACAAGGCGACGTGGACTCTGGAGACGACACGGACGAAGCGAATGGCAACGACGGGTCGCAGTGCGACGACCCGTCACAACGCCTGAGCGTCACACGGAACTCGACCGTGAACGTGTGCTACGTGTGCTACGACGAGTCCGAGGACGACAACCCGCTCGTGGCGCCGTGCAAGTGCTCTGGGGACACCAAGTACATCCACGTCAACTGCTTGAAGCGATGGCACACGAACGGGGACAAGAATGAGATCTGCGCCGTCTTGGACGAGAGTGACGCGCGCACATGCAGCATCTGCAAGGCGGCGTACCCCGCGCGCATCAAAATTCCATCGACCAACACGTTTGTGTCGTTGCTGCCCGACCGGCTGGACGCCCCAAGCATCATGCTGCAAGTCGTGACCAAGCACTCGAGCTCAACCCTCAACACATCGACGCGGTACCAGTTGAGCTACAAGACTCTGCTCAACACGGAATCCGCGCGTCCGCTCATGATCGGCCGGTCTTCGCAGTGCGATTTGGTGCTTAAGTACCGCACCGTGAGCACGATCCACGCGGAGTTGCATTATTCCAAGGGCGAATGGTTTGTCAAGGACGCCGGCAGCTCGAACGGCACGTTGCGGTACATTTACCGCCCGCTCACGCTTCCAGGCAACCAGATGCTCCATGTGAAGTTTGGACGCACGGTGCTCAGCATTAAGCCGACCAAGAAGCTTCGGCTGCCGTCGCTCTTTGGACTCGGCAAGAATGAGCACCAACACGAAGATGTGCACCATGGCCACCCGAACAGCCAAGACGGCACTTCGCGCGCCCGATCCCTCCAGGGCCGCGCCTTTAGCGCAGACGCCGTCGATCCACAAGGAAACATGCATGATGTGTCGCGACGCTTGGATCATCTAGGCATCAACGGCAGAAGTTAGAAGCATGCTATTAGTACTAACTACTCGTGCATATGCTAATTATATCCCCCGTGGTTCGTGTTTTCTCCTTGGGCAGGTTTGATTGGATTGGATTTATGTTAATATTATTGTGCTTTCGAGTGAAATTTCATTGTGTTGTGGAATTTAGATCTATTTGATTGGCTACTTTAAATGAGCTCAAAATTATTAGCCAATCAAAACCATCTGAATGAAATTCAACCAATCAGATCGATTGTGGATCGGTTTGGTCGGCGCGATTCGATTGCCCAAATTTGTATCAAATCGACAATATTGGGTGTTCTTTACGTATTTCCTCTGTCGCCGGACCTTTGAAATTTCATATAATTCTAAGTTGAAGAGGTATCTTTGGGAATCAATCAACCTTTTTAGCCGATCATAGTGCAACTTTCATTCTTTGTAGCCAATCATACTCCTTGGCTCGATTAGTTGGCGATTTCATCATACTAAAAGCACAATAACAACAGGAGGTTGTTTTAAATTTAGTGTATTTAAAATGGCGAGTATGATTACGTTAATTTAACGAGTCGTTTTGGACGACTCGTTAAAAAAATAATTTGAAAATATAAAGAGGTGTTGCTGGTACACGTATTTTAAATGGCCGACCGCAATGCTGCTGCGCGCGTGCGCGCCGAAGCAACAGCCAAGCGCGACCGCGAGGCGGCAAAGAGGCATCTGGAAGCATCAGGCGCTGGGCCTTCGCAATATGAGCTCAAGGGAGTGATCCGACAAGTGGGTTATGACATCAATATGGGAGACAACACCCTACAAGTCGCGAGAAAGTCCCAACCGCAGGGTTACGGCGGCAACATTCCGATGACGGCAATACCACTGCCAACATCCAAGGCCAAGGTTGCTTCGTCGTCTTTGAATGCTTCGTCTACGAAGCAAGACGATGGTGACAGTGACTTGCTGCCTGGATGGAAGGCAACAGTGGACAAGGAGAGTGGCGACGTGTACTATTGGAACAAGGTCTGCCACCAAGATGCGTTTGTGCATGTGAAGGACACGTGACAGATGTATGTACATAGGCAACGAAAGAAACGAGTTGGGACAAGCCTTCGATTGTAAGCTTCCGTGTGAAGCAGCATGCCACGATCGTCGTCTCATGTCATGCGTAGATGAAATCCAAGCCCGAGAAAGGCGTGACCCCACTGCCCTAGTACATACGTCCTGCTTCTCCATGTCATTCTCCATCACGACATTGATCATGGCGTAGTGGCTGGGAAGAGGTCCAAGATCCGTTGTCGAGCGACGTGTACTACTGGAACATCCACACGCAAAAGACGCAGTGGGAGCGCCCTGTGTCCCTTGGTAGGAGGATATATATGTATATTTCAAAAAAATATGTTACATTTTTATATATATATATATAAATACTCGCACCCTGCGTTCTAGAGCAAGCAATTGAAGCGAAGTCGAAATTGGATAATTTACTCCAATTCTGCGGCAGCACTGCCATGTTCCCGTGCGTTGAATATGACATGACGAGGACATCGTCTCCAAGGAATGATCGCTGGTGCATTAAGTAGGCAAGACGATGAGACATCCCGTGGCAAGACTTCTGTCGTCTCGACCTCACCTTCCTCTTCAAGTACAGAACCACTGTATCTCCATTCGTCGCCAGTAAACCATCCTTCCTGATAGTTTTATATCCTTCCAACTTCAGGCACGAAGCGACCGCTATCAGCGGATCCATTGCATGCACCCACGTACGTACCGTCCGTACCGTCCGTGGACATGCATCGTTCGTTCCCTTGAACGATGATGCTCACGATGGTGGGGTCTTGGTAGGTCGTCCAAGTCGATTCGCCGCGCGTAGCCGCCTTGTCGACCGCCGCCGTCCACATCTCTGCACGAAGAAGATTCGCGCGTTTTGTGAACGCACCCTTGAAGCGCCTTTCCGCTTTTTTAAAAAAAGTTGAATACAAACATCAAATCAAAAGGTGTGATTTTTAATGCCAAGGAAGAATTGACCTATCCCGCATTGGAAAGCCTTGCCACATTCAAAAGTCAATTCACAAGCCGGCAACATCCGAGTTGATGGCGGAGAGAGCCCCGCAGTCCGAGCCGATCGGCGAGAGGAAGCCGCTTCTGTCCAATGCTAATGCATCTGCACGAAGCGAACCTACCGGATCCCTGCTTCGAGCCCCCATACCGCCACCCATCACGGTTGCCCGTGTGAGCGACGTGCCTGGATCGTCATTGTCCTTCCGCACGCGTGAGGAACCTTCTGCATCGTCCAGCGTGGGTTCCACATCTCCCAAAGAAGAAGCCCCGCGTCAATTCATGATTCTCGGCGACTACGGCGGCAACTTGCAGTCCGAGTTGTCCGAGGACTCGTTGTTCTTACCCGACTCGTCCAAGCTTGTACGTTTTCGCACTTTCTCGTCATCCTAATGTGTGTCGTATGCATGACCTTGTGCGTGTGGACATGTGTTGGTAGAACGACCACGAAAAGAAACGCAAGGCGCAGCACATGGAATCGTTCGACTACGATTTCTTTGAATCCCGTGTCAACCAACAGCACGAACATGAGCAAGTACGTCCTTCGTCCAACAGCATGTTGATATCTCATGCGGCGGTGGTGTGTAGACGGAAGAAGAGATCCACATGCTCAACTTGGGTCGATGGGTCATGACGTTTTTCATCGGGTTGGGCACGGCGGGAGTCGCGTGCTTTATCGAAAAGTTCACCGAACTGTTTTCGTCCATCCGCCTAGAAACCATGGAGCGCATGTTGGTGAAGGAACAAACGGGCCATTCCAACTTTGGTACACCCATCGCCATGCTCGATACACATCTGTTCCTTCACTCATGCAACGTGTCCTTCTTCTTCCATTAGGCTCGGCCTACTTGGTGTACGCCGGCATTAGCTTGGGGTACGTTGCGATTGCCTCGTACTGCGTGGCCATTCTTTGTCCTGTCGCGGGTGGCTCTGGCATCTCTGAGATCAAAGCCACGTTGAACGGCATCAAAATCCACCGCATCGTCCGGTTGAAGACTCTCTTTTGCAAAGCGCTGGGCGTGCTGTTCAGTGTCTCGGGGGGTCTTCCCGTGGGCAAGGAAGGGCCTATGATCCACAGCGGCGCGATCATCGGGGCAGGTCTCTCGCAAGGGAAATCCTCGTCGTTTGGCCTCGACACGTCATGGACCAAGTTTAAAGGTTTCCGCAACGACAAGGAAAAGCGCGACTTTATCAGCAGCGGCGCGGCCGCGGGCGTCGGCGCCGCGTTCGGCGCGCCCATCGGCGGCGTCTTGTTTGCATTAGAGGAAGGCGCGTCGTTCTGGCACCAAAACCTGACGTGGCGGACGTTCTTTTGCTCCATGGTAAGTGCGTTCGTGCTCAACTTGTGGAGCGCATTCCAAAACCAAGACTATGGCACGGGCGGTGAAAAGTGGGGCCACCTCGGCAACCAGACGGGCACACTCAGCTTTGGTTCGTTCGACGCCGAGAACAAATCGTACGCGATATGGGACGTCCCGATCTTCCTCGCCATCGGCATGGTCGGCGGGCTCCTCGGCGCACTCTTTAACCAAGCCAACACGTACCTGTCGCTGTTTCGCCGCGCGACACCGGCGCTGTCACATAAATACGGCCGGTTCCTGGAAAGCCTCGGCATCTGCCTTGTCATGTCGATCACGTCGTTCTGGCTCCCCGTTGCGTTTGGCACGTGCTTGCCCAAAAGCGGACCGTATGCCGACCATCTGGTCCAGTTTTACTGTCCGGCGGGGCACTACAATGACCTGGCGTCGCTGTACACGGTCACGGGCGCACGGTCCATCATGCAGCTGCTCCACCACACGGACGACGTGAGCTTTACCTTTGTCACGTTGGTCGTGTTCTTCGCCTCGTTTAGCGTCCTGGCGTGCTGGACCTACGGCATCGCCGTGCCCAGCGGTCTGTTTGTGCCGAGTCTACTGGCGGGAGCTGCGTACGGCCGTCTCTGGGTCCACGCGCTCGTGTACTTTCACATCCCACACACTGCCCCCGTCGGCATGTTTGCACTCATCGGCGCCGCGTCCATGCTGGGGGGTACGAGATGGATATCAAGTTTGAGAGGTGTAACCGGATGTTTGTAGGGATGGCGCGTATGACGATTTCACTGACAGTCATCATCTTGGAATGCACCGGCGTGATTGAATGGGGGTTGCCCATCATGGTGTGTCTCATGGCAGCTCGTTGGGTGGTATGTACACACACACATATATATGTATAATTATAGTTTATATATGACATATGGAGTATTATGTATGCATGTCGAACACTTCATAGAGTGTAGTACTGCACTTGATTTGTTGGTATTGACTTGGTTGTTGGGTGGTGGATTCTCTAGGGCAACAGTTTCAACCACGGTCTGTACGACATCCACATCCACTTGAGGCACCTGCCGTTCCTCGAGTTTGACCCGCCATTCTACGCGCGGTACCTTCGCGTGTACAATATCATGGGGTCGAACGTGATTCAGTTGGCGCATGTGGCCAAGGCCGGCGACATCTTTGACATGCTCAAACGAACGTGCCACTCTGGGTTTCCCGTCGTGAACGAACTCGACAAGTTCTGCGGCATCATCCAGCGCAAACATTTGTGTGTGATGCTCCAGCGCAAAGACTTTTCGCTCAATAAGCCCGACCCGTACACCCGCAAACCCGCGGGAGAAGAGTCGTTCTTGTACAACGAACAGGTACGAAAAAATAATACTATGGCATGGATTGTGTGCTTTCGAGTGAAATTTCATGTTGAGGTGTGGTTTCTCGTTGGAATTTCAATCGATTTGATTATGAGCTCAACATTATTAGCCAATCAAAACCACCTTCTTAATGAAATTCAACCAATCAGATCGATTGTGGATCGGTTTCGTCGGCGTAACGATTCGATTGCAATATTCATGTATCCCAAATTTGTATCAAATCGACAATATTCATGTATCCCTCATGTATTCATGTATCACTCCTTTATTCCTTTTTGATGACTCATATTTTGATTTGTGTGGTTGGTTGGCAGTATGCGCTGTCGTACCGTGATATTGAGTCAACGTATCCGCGGTACCCGAGCATCACCGACATCCGGCTGGATTCGACGGAACGGGACCTGTGGATGGACCTGACGCCGTACATGAACCCGACGCCCCACACGATTCAGGACCAGACCCCCGTGCCCCGCGCGTTTCGGCTGTTTCGGTCGCTTGGGCTCCGTCATTTGGTACACGAGTCTTCTTGTGCCATCGTTCAAAGTACTTGTTATTGTTGTAGGTGGTGCTGAACCGGCACAACCAAGTGAAAGGGATCGTGTCACGCAAAGACTTGACCCCAGAGCACTTGAAAGCGAGCCTGGATCACCTGAGCGAGTCGGAGAAGCTCGTGATCCAGGGCTACTTTACTCGGTATAGCCACCACTCGGAAGCCATCGACAAAACCATGCTCCGCCTCTCCCGGGTGTCCGACACGGCGTAACTAACAATAGTGAATCAATGACACTTGTGTCGCACATTTTATAGCAAAATGGTCGTGGAAAACGAACGAGTGGGACTCGACTTACCTACCTCTACGGTAGTAACTACTTCCTCCTTTACGACTGCATATCATTCCACTGATATGTATTTCGACGCCTAGAAACAAACGTGTGCATATTAAATCCTGAATTCAAACCGACCACTTGTACATAGACCAAGGACAAACCCAGTACCAAGACTGAAAACCACCGTTCCAACTAATAAACTCTAGTTAGATGAGGCATACTTTTTGTACTCTGACCACCTCACCTCTTACTAGGGGTTTATACTTGGACGTATTAGGTAGGACGAAGTCCCGGGGTTATGAGAACAAAATTTGCTTGAACGGTTTTCAGTCTTGGCTGATCGGTATCCAGATTTGTTGAACGTTTGTTTTCCCATAGTTTATGTACGAGAATGGGGAATTGTAGCGATTCTACAGTGTATGTACACTGTAGTTTACTGGAGACATTATTATCTGCTGGACAGCAGTGGCTAGCTAGTATTACTAGTAGTAGTATGACGGATAACGTCCGCGCGTTGATGATAGCTGGATATCACTTTCGATATGTCATACGATTCGGACGAAAGTGTAGAGGCCGCCAGGATTTATAGGACATGTATGAATACTAAAATAGGATGTAATAATAGTACTAGTAGTACAGACAACCAACAGATAGATATATATCGTCTCATGGGAGTAGTAGTACTACTAGTATGATGATTTTCTACCTCGCCCTGTATTCTGCGACGAGGGAATCCAGCCGCTGCACGCATCCGTGGTTTCACAGAGAGAACAATCGAATGTATCCGACCAAGACCGACTGTGATGAAGGTTCATCTTGCCATACTTGGAAACGCCAGCTATTGGAGTGTGAGAATTGCTTTTTATTCCTCTGGGCATACGTATCGCAGCAATAATTTACCACGAAAAATGTCCTGGTAGACCAAGATGGGACAAAGTGGGCTAAACCCCCCCTGGCTGGCTCAAGATCATCCTCTCGATCAAATCTCGTCCCCTTGTTACACTTGAACAAGTGCTGGTTTTGCCGTGCTCAAATGCTCTCGATATCTCGTGGGGAAAACCCTAGTTTATCCCACCTGAATAAAGTCGTGGGCCGACAATTTCCCTATCACTCGACACTTTGGGAACATGTGGCAAGATTTTAGACTTGATTAAAGTATACCGTACAGATATGCTTTGTCTTGGGATGTCGCACCAGCACCTATTTGAGGTCCAAGTCGAATATCACTTTGGGATATTCTGTTTTGCAATGATGGCGGCATCTCCTGCTGCTGCGACGACGATGACGCCGGCCGACTGCAGCGAAGGCGCGACGAGCCCCGCAACCACGGACGTACCCGCGGACATGCGCTGCCGCTATGCGTACAAGGAGTGCCGATTTGTCCGCTCCCAACGCAAGAATGGCAAGCTGCATTCGCTGTGCGAACTGCACCGTCGAAAAGCCAACTCGGTGCAGAAGCTGTACGCGATGAAGCGACGGAATACACCGACCGAGTCTGCAAGAAATCGGCAGACTGCGAACAACAACATCAACGCGCCACTCGGACGTTCTCCGATGTTGCCGTCATCCATGAAGATGGAAAGCTCCCACCTATACCCTCCAACCCATCATTATTATCCAAGCCCGCAGCACCATCACCGCCATCCCGAGGAAGCAGTCGACGACGACACGTACCAACGCTTGATGGAGATCAAACAGCGCATTCAAGATGCATGGGAGCGAAGGTCCTTCCCTCCAAGTGCCGATGGACCCGTGGACTGTTACCCCAGCTCCCCCCCTGCTGCGTATCGCCTTCCATCCATGTATGCAGCTCAGTACTAAAGGGCCTTAATTAATCATCTATCTTCTCGCATTGTACTACTTGCCTTTTTCGACATTTACGTTCGTGAATAGTATTATTAATAAGTCCAGTATATATTATTACTATATTAATACTTACTATTCCTGCAGCAAAATTCAATTGGTTTGTCACCCGCACCTACAAAACTACCGGTAGTGTAATGTAGTGAAATATCATTTTTACGTTAACGTTCACAGTATTATTATTACTTCGATACAATAATACTTTGAAGTAGTAGTTACTAGTATATACTACTATTATTAATAACATAGATACTAGTAGTACTAGTGTATGCCAACTGTCAGGTTATAGTACTTACTGTATTTTGCACATGAGAGTTCAAACTCGTTGGACAGTTGATTGTTGTGACGTTATTCGTGATAACATTAGCTGGGGTGTTCAAGCTCACTTGTCGACCCTGGTTTATCCTATTTGCAAGCGATTTCGCCGTCGACGACAGCGTACTTCTTGCAAGGAGCGGCGTCGTTCAAAGGGGTGGCAAATGGAGTGGCGAGTGTTCCCTTGATGCAAGTGGCGTTGGACGGGCCTCCAATCGAGTCGCGATGAACCACATCACAGAGCGATGCTAGGCCCTTGTCTTGCGTGTACAAGCATGACGCCATGTTATACGATCCAGTAACGCTTTCTCGCACGTAAAACACGTTGCTCTGGCTGTTGGGATGCTCGGCAGGAAACACTTGGGTGGGCGTCGCAAGTGATCCAAAGTAGCACCGATTACAACCAAATACCCCGCGAACGTCCGTGGTTAAGCTGTATTCGGCACACCGAAACGGGTTCACAGACAGCAGCACAGCACCTACTAAGTTGGACGGGGCATTGCAGGCGGTGAGCCCGTCGTATGTCTTGCCTTGCACAGCCCACTGGGCCGACGCGCAAAAGGGCAAGTTGACAGGAATCGTCGTTGTCACTTCGACGTAATTACCAGGGAGCACTACGGACAGGTTCACCTCCGACGAGGTGGCAGCTGCAGCTAGAGCCAGCATACAAACGGACCCCAACAACATGGTACTAACAGGGCGAAGCAAATGGTAAAATGACATAGTTGTTGTCATTGCTGAGTGAATTGTAATGTTAACACTCATATGCCGGTGAAATGGGTAACTACTGGAGTAAACGAGTTTGCAATTGCCACCGCATGATCACATTACAGTACGCATTGTCAAATCAATTCGAAACCGGAGAATCAAATGTGTACTACGTAGTAACATTGTACGAGAACGAATTTAAGGACGACCTAAGCCAATCAAATCACGTTCTGGTGAATTTCTGCCAATCCAAAGTACTGATTCAGTTCAGTCCCACGGCATTGGGCAAAACCTGATATATGCAGTATACTGCAGTACATGTCAAATCGATTCAAAAACCATATATATACTAATGTTTGTAAATCATAGTGTGTATAAGCTTAAATTGGATTATTCTAATGCTACAGTATTTGACTCACAAGTCCAAGTTTGGGTGAAATGCACAATACGTAAGTATTAAACAATGGATAAAGTTTAGTACACATACCTGTCAAGTACCGTCGTACTACTGTACGTAGTACTACGTAGTACTTCAAAACCAAATTGTTATATAGCAACATCTACAATTTTGCTGAAATTCTGGGAAGTACTTCAGATTAGTATGAAACAGATTAGAGTCAAATATCATCTCGTCACTTCTCGGAAGTACTACACAGAGTGCACATGGCTGGACCAGCACGCTCGTCGGTCATGTAATGGCATAGAGTTCATCGTGGGCTAAAAAAAAAAAACTGAAATTCTTTATATTTTTTTCATATAAAATATAAATAAAACTGAAGAGTATGTAGCGCAGCGGAACGTGACCGCAAATGCATTGCGGTGAAGTGCAGGTGTCTCTGGTATCGTCGCGACGAGAATACCTCAGTCGATGTTCCCTCCAACCTGACCTTCGCATTTTCATGGTGCAAGGTAATTCCCCATAATCCTGAAATCAAGTAAAATGTAACGTTAATCCAATCATCGTAACCTACTTGGAATGCTCAAATAAATACCCAAAACATGACTCGCCATCGTGGTTTGAAAAAGTGATTGCAAAGCACGACGGAAACGATTCTGACTGGCTCCGTTCGTCTTGAAAAGTTACTCGGAAGAGCCCCTAAATAGGGGATCCCTCAAAAGTCCAAATTTGTGTGAAAAGCACAATATTGCATAAATACTTACATAAACGAATGTGGCTAAGTATCTGTGGACGGACGACTAACAGCAAGCAAGCTTCCCTGCATGTCGAACAAGCGTTATACTCCATTGTTTGCTACTACTACTACATACTAGGTAGTAGCTGGGAGAGTGACAAGATTCGAAGGAGCTGGGTATATCAGGTGGGGCATATCTAGCAATGCATTCACGTTATAAGAGCATCTCCAACGGTAAATATGTCGATTCTGTTGCGCATAGCGCTTACTGTACGACTACAATAGTAGTACGATACTGTAGTACTCCAATAACGTCGTAAAAGTCGTGTTGGCAACACGTATTTTTTACTGTTATTGGGCCAAGTGTGTCGTTAATACCGGGTACTATTAATAGTATTGCCAGTATTAATAAGTGTAAGACAAACTAGATTAATAGTGTGTTTTTAGCCAATCCGTATCCAGAACATACTACTAGAACCAATCCTATCCGTTTGTATTGGATATTATAGCCAATGGCATCGATCCATGAGGAGCAGTTACCACGCCAGTTTCAGATACCTTTTTCGGTTCCCGACCCCAACGAACGATGCAGTTCGAAGGCGCGGGCATCACGCTGGAGCGCAATGTGATCGCGATGTTGAGTGAATGCGGAGACATTCCTCCCATGTACGAAGACCCGGACTTCGCGGCAAAGCCCATCTCTCTCTACCTCAACCCTGACAAGGTGCCCGAGTATGCCGTCTCGTCGAAGCGGACGTCCAACGGCGCTGCCGACGACTCGGCCGTGGCGTGGTACCGACCGGGCCACGTAACTGCCGACCCCGACTACTTCAAGTGCACAGCCGGCTGCGGCGTGCTGCGGGAAGGAACGGGTACGTTCCTGCCACTGCTTCCAGTGACATCACGTATGTACATGTAGGACTCAACGATTCGTGGCTGGTGGGGGTGTTTGCGGCGCTGGCGCTACACCCCGACAACTTGATCGAGAACCTCTTCGTGTCGCCCATGCACGATTTCAAAACGTACGGCATCTACACGTGTCAGTTCTACAAGGACTGCCAGTGGCTCGAAGTCGTCACAGACACGCGGCTACCGTATTCACAGTCCCTTGATGACGTACCCAAAGCAGCCAACAACAGCGTCAGCCGGCCAGGCCATTGGCTGTACGGAAGCAGCGTCGACAAAAGCGAAGTGTTTATACCGTTGTTGATGAAAGCATATGCGAAATTCCATGGTAATAATGTTGCCCATATATATATATATGTATGCACCCGTCCAAATATATTGTATATATGGACTGGACTTTTCCAAATCCATTGCGCGAGTATTCTTTGTTTTGTATTGATTTTTGTATGGAAACAATAGCCTACCTGTAAATTCCGATCGATGCCAATCACACTATTTGAAGTTTCACACTATTTATCTGCAATTTTTTGGACTTTCGTGCAATATGGATTGGGTGGCTACATGCTTCTGCCTACTATTAATAACTAACTATATTAATAGTACTCTTCTGCACATTTGGTGGTGTCACTACATTCGGCATGTCTCTCCAGTTTAGAAGAAACACAAGAAGAACGCAGTCGGGCTATTTTTCTATGTATCTATCTATATATGTACATAGATATATAGATAGATAAGATAGCAAACTATATATATATGTACGTACATAGATATATAGATAGATACATAGATAGATAACGTATGCTTATGTCGAGGTCGACAAATAAGGAATTGTAGATTCATGTATATGTAATTTACATACATATTCCATGCCTGGTTTTTTCTTTTATGATTCAAACGAGTTGTTTGAAAGTCCTTTTTTGAATCGACCACATCAGGAACTAATAGTATGATGATTATTAGTAGTAGTACCTCAACGTTTATATCTTCCACAGCGCTAAATGATATATTTTTGCTTCATTGGAGCAAGGACGTTTCGAAATTGGCCAATCTTTCCTGAGATATAAATATATATATAAATATATAATAGTATGGGTCACGACTGCCTGTATAGGAAGCTACGAAGTGCTGCATAACGGGAGTATCTTGGAAGCATTCGTCGACTGCACGGGCGGCAGTGTAAAGAAAATCGATTTAACCAGCGATAGCAGTCGCAAATTGATTGAAACGGGCGAACTCTGGCCTAAACTGGTGAATCATGTGAATTTTAAAAGCGTCGTGACTGTCCAGCTCAAGATGGCGGCGATGCTGTACAACGAAGTGACGGGTACGGTTTTTTATTTATTTTTATATTGTATTTGAAAATGATTTAAAATACAAGCACAGGCTCGGGCATTTTGAAGAACCACTTGTACGTCGTGCAACACGTGAAAGAGCTCGGGTCGCTCAAGTTTGTCAAGCTCAAAAATGTATGGCAAAAAGGACTGTGGAAAGGCGACTGGAGCAACGACGACAGGTTTTGTATTCAATATATATATATATATCATTGGGATATTTGTACTTGGGAGATACAAATACTATGTAGGAGTTGGGAATATATATATGTATATATGGCTATTTGTACTTGGGAGATACAAAGAGTTGGCATTGTGCTATATATAGGTAATATGGGGTTGTTCAGGATATACCATGACTATGAGTATACAATTTATTTAATCGTTGCGTTCATACATTCTCCAAGTCAAGTATTGTCCTTTTACCCAAACTTTGGACTTTTGTGCTGATTCGCCGAATGTATCGATCGATTCTTTTGTACTGAATTTGTCTTGTACGCAAAAATCGACCAATCTAAGTCGCACACGATATCGATGTGGAATGGTTCAAGCGAGAATAATCTGATTGGTTACTTGATTCGTGTTGTGGGTTTTGATTGGTCAATCGATTGTCTGACCACCCCACAGCTTTCGAATCGCCTTGACAATGTACTTTTATATATATACAGTTTAAAACGTATTTTCCACGTTTCCCCTTGTGCTGGTGAACACTACTATGCGTGGCATGATATCTCAATATATATATATATATATATATATATATTTCTTTTGTAGCAAATGGGAAGACAATTTGCAAGTCGAAGCAGCGTTGAGGGCCGACCCCGCGTGCGAATTCAACCGCACCAAAGCCGACGGCACATTTTGGATGATTTGGGAAGACTTTGTCGAAGCGTTCAACGAGTGTGTATACATGCTACTAGTATATACATATATCATCCGATTGCATTGTATGTTTTAGACTTGTATATATATATTCGTTGTAGACTGTACATCGTGCGCAACTTCCCATCCACGTTCCATCAATACTGCGTCCGTGGGGAATGGATTGGGCAGGCCGCGGCGGGTCCTCCCATGAAGCCGCCGTCCGAGGTCTTACTCTCCTTTATTTTCGTTTTATTCTACTAGCCTTGTTATTTATTTATATACTTTTACACAGGCTACCAGCTCGTCGGCTCCAGGTCGAAAATGGCTGATCGAGCCAGACTCGGAGCCGAGCTGGTTTCTAAATCCGCAGTACCGCCTTGTGGTAGCCGAGAAGACGTCGGTGGTGGTGTCCCTGCTCCAGCGAGACTTTCGAGTGTTTGGGGGGGATAACTTTGGCGTGAATTTTGTGCTTCTGGAGGTGAAAAAGAGACCCGTGGCGGCGTCGATGGTTTGGGAGTGGGACAAACTGGCGGTGGTCGCGGAGGGACACACGGGGACGGGCGGGGAGAAATGTCATCCAGAGCGAGAAATTTCCAAAGGCAGCGTCGTGTTGGAGCCGGACGTGGCGTATATCTTCAGTATGTCTAGATTTGGAGTCTTATTCTAATTACTATTATTATTATTACAGATCATAACTAGAATAATTAGAATTATGATCTGTAGGATGTGATGATCTATAGAATATGATGACTGAATGACTACTGGTTGTTCGAAATGTGGTTATGGTGGATTTGGTAGTACGAATTTCCAGACCCCGTCGAATTGAATGAACTCGCCGAATCGAATCACGAATCGACGCTATTGGCTAATCCATTTTTGATTGGATTTGATTGGCTCTTGCAGAAAGGACAAGTATATTCAACCAATCAGAACTCCAGCGTGATTCAATATTGATTAAGTTAATAGCGAATTCACAATACCACTTGTACTATGTATATTTGGTGTTATAGAAGTACGATGCAGTAGGGTTGGTACTAGCGGATGGTATATTAATATTATTGTACCTATAAGTTGGAATTGATCGATCTGTTGGAACTATGTCAAAAGTTGTCTTGCGGCGGTCGTAGTCACACTAATTGAAGTCACACACTATTAATATTAGTTGGATCTTGGTGTTGATTTCCTGCAATCTGATTGGCTAAATACGTGTACCTTTAGAGGATGGGTTTTGAGGTTTATTGTTTTTTTTAGTATTTTTGATATATTATATTTGACCGAATACAATATTATTCACGTAGTTCCGTACACGGACCATGGCGGCGTGGAAATGGAGTTTTTCTTTCGCGTGTTTAGCCCGAAACCGGTTCAAATCGACTCGCTGATGCCCCTGAACACGCTCGTGGTCCAAGGTACTACTACTACTAGTAATACTAGTAGTAATCGATGCTTACTACTTGCACCCCGCTCAGGCCGGTGGCGCGTGGACGACGACGGGAATACCAACGCCGGCGGACCGTTGGTGCACCACTTGACCTCAGGTAGATATATATATATATATATACATAAATTTATACATAGATTTGTATGTTTCAACCATACACTACATACGTGTCTTTATATCTTTCGTGCCGCCTGTATTTGAACTCAATGACTATTAATATATTGTGCAAACAATTGCCGGACCTTCGAAATATGATATATTCAACTCAGTTGAAGACATATCTTTGTAACAATGCATTTTAGCCAATCATACTCTTGTTTTGGTTGATATCTTGGTGATTTGTCCCCAATCCCCCCACCCTTGCAAATTCGAGCTCCCGTTTACTCGTTGTAAATGCTAATATATGATTTTACAGGCGTGGAGAACTTGAACTGGTGCCAGAACCCGCAGTACCTACTTCGATGTATCGGCGCGTCCAAGCCCGTGGACTTGAAGCTCGTGCTAAAGCGAACGGGGCTCAAAAGTACAGCCAAAGGACACCGCCGAGATCACCAGAAGGACAAGGGGCAGCTCATTGGGCTGGCTATCGTCAAGCCCGACGCGGACGAGTCAGCCGCGCAGCAGCAGCTGGGCAAAAAAAAGGAAAAAACAAACTTTTTAGGCGAGCCTGTCAACCCCAAGAAGGCGTCTGTGGAGTACGCTACCGTGGTATGACTCTTGTATATCATATTGTGCATTTAAATTAAGTGGAGTTGAGAGTGATTTGGCCAAATACATTCGAATCCATTGGATCTCATTTAAGCTTGTACAAACTATATATACTATACAAAGATTGGGGTATATGTGGTTTTGCCCAAGGCAGAGAGGGGCTTGGCCGAATCAACGTTTGGATTGGCAGAAATTAGATTGGACGAGTGATTTGATTGGCTTAGGCGGTTCTTTAATCCATTCCCTTCAGACATACTAGTATTCGATTGTGCTGACGGCTCCAGGTTCGAATTGATTAGACAATATACGAATTAAGATACAGTACATATATTCGAGTTTCGTTTACACTATTTTTTTCAGTGTCACATACGAATTCAAAGTGGAATGGGGGACCCGTGAGAATTAGATTGGCCCACTTGGCAAGTGTTCTGGGTGTTGATTGGTGGATCAATTGTCTGGATTGAACCCCCCACTTGAATTTCAAGTCGAATGGACAATAATATATAAAATATTATAAACCATATATATATATATATACGTACTGTACGTAGATCGGGGGATTGCCGAGCCGAAAACTACTCGTTAAAGCGGACGAGTACTGCGTGTTGTCGGACTTTAGTAGTGCGCACGTGGCCAGTGTCTTTCTCCGCAAAGTGCCACCGGAATGGCTCGCAAAAGGTGTATATATTTAGAAAATATATTTTTATTTACAGCATGGTTAGGGTTGCTGGTGGTGCCGTCGTTGGGGGAGGCGCGGGGCGAGGGCGGTTATGACCTCGAAGTCCACAGCGATGCCTCTGCGATGACGTTGGACGAAATTCCCAGCACCCTGTCGCAGACGATTGCGGGCGAGTGGAGCGACAAGGCGGGCTCGGCCGGTGGCAGCCACTTGAGTGCCGAGTGGAAGAAAAACCCAAAGTTTTACCTCACGTTAAAGTGCGTAAGACCGGCGGCCGTGACCATCGACTTGTACCGGTCCGAGTTTGAATGGCGTGCCAAGTGCAAAAAGGATTCGGTAACGTCGATATATATATACATACATATATTAATGGTTTTGATCGTATCTATATATATATAGTAGTTTTGATTGTGTATATATATATATATAGCAGTTTTGATTGTTTCGATATATAGTAGTTTTGATTGTTTCGATGGACTGGATCTCGCATTAGTTGGATCCAGACCTGGTTTTTTTTCTATGCTATGGAAATGTATATGTTTAAATAGAATGGTTTGTGTCTTTTAGTTTAAGATTATTATCATATCCTTCCGATATATTTATATCGTTGTTAGTATACATGAAAAGAATGTACATCACACTAATTGAAGTCTTGCACTAATTTGTTGTTGATTGGTTGAACTGATAGTTTCCTGCAATCGGATTGGCTAAATTCATATCTGCCGATTCTTCTGTACATTTGATTGTGTCGATACACGTCGCTTCCAGTTTTGAATAAACACAACAATATATTGTGCTTTCGAGTGAAATTTCGTGGCGTGGTTTCTCGTTGGAATTTAAATCGATTTGATTGGCTACTTCAGATGAGCTCAAAATTATTAACCAATCAATGAAATTCAATCAATCAGATCGATTGTGGATCGGTTTGGTCGGCGCGATTCGATTGCCAAAATTGTATCAAATCGACAATATATATATGTGAAATCCGACGGTTATCGTAATAATGCAATAAATATATATATGGGTTTGGTATTGTAGGTGGGGGCGATGATGGGGTTTTACCTGTTTCAAGGGTCCAAGGGCACTCGGGAATCGTCGACGGTGGTTGTGGATGGCAAGAGATGGACCGAGACGGACTTTGTGCCGCTGCACCACGTCAGCATATCGGACTTAAGTCTGCCGCCAGTCTTTAATGAGTCCTATGTGATCATGCCTGCGACGTGGGAGCCAAACAAGTGCGGTCGGTTTCTGCTGTCGGTCTCGGCCGACTGCGAATTCACCCTCCAAGGCGAACAAGAGTCCTAAAATACAATTAAATGATCATAGGTTATATATCGGTATCACACTACCTATAATAGTTTGGAACTACGGGTGTGCAACTGGTGTTACTATGGAAAACAGAACATCCGAGTTCATTGTTATGATTGGCTGAAGAATTATCGAAAACGGACGTCTATTGGACAAATTATAGTACTACGTAGTACTACTATAGTACTAGTAGCTGTTGTGCTTTTCACTCGTTTTGGCTATTCACACCATAAACCTAGGTGTTTGTTATATCGTCGACTCCAGTGGTTTAGATAATCCGTGCAGTACTATTAATATATATTACTCATAGTAATCGTAACGTTCAATTTAAGAACACTTTTTCCGAGGCGCTGCCGTGGAAGGCATGTAACTCGACTCGTAGGTATCGGATTATAATTCGAGAATATGTTACATGAAGCCAAAATCCAGGCCTATTCGGGAGTTATGAATGCGATATGATTCCTGTTATAATTCATTATCATTCACTCCACTTTGTCCACAAACAGCTTAAAACAAGCGGTCCAATTTAAGGTGCACCATTTTAAGCTTAGTCTTTGTATACCCATTTGCATATTTTTTGGGCGGTTAGGTTAAAGACTACAAATTGATTGGCTAACTCGCGTGCACCTTAAATCGGACGTTAGTATATTATACTACGTAGTACTACAGAAACGTTAGTTGGTGCTGTTGGCTGATATGTTTAAACGTATGTAGGTTAAAGAAGCAGTGTATGCCAAGGATACGGTCATTAGGATACCAGGGTGGCCCTGGGTTTGTGGCCATTGAACAAGGTATTGCCCGATGCTGATACCTGTGGCTCAATGCTCGTCCTATGGAAAGCACTGCCGCCGATTTGAGGTAGGGATTGCATTGCTGAAATGGCGTTAAAGGGTTTAACGTATTCGCTCCGATTTGGACCATTGGCTTGAAGCCTGCAGGTACTGTACCTAAAAATACTATCCAATCAAATGGCTGGAAATTTGACTCCGCGGGGTATTTCCGTTACAGAATGGCCAGAGTTGAATACTTTAATCAAGTGAAAATTGTAGCAAATCAAATCCCATATCGATTTCTACAGGTCAAGCAACAAATCGATGTAAAGGTTCCCTACGATTGCACGGTTTTAAATAAATCCGCATATTGGTATTTGCATAGAAACATTCCACAGTATAATTTACCGTGCGATAGAAGAAAGATATTGCAGGAGCCCATCGAGTTTGAGAGACTTGCCTCCAATTTTGTATTCACCATGTCGCTCCCCTTTGCCGACATGCACGGCGGCGGCGATGGCATTCGCGATTTGGATCATTCTGTGGAGGACGTCGAAGACGATAATGACACCATGGATCTAGACGATGACGAAGAGGATGACTCGGACGACTTGGACACGGAGAAGAACCGAGGTGGCGACCGGCGCAGGCAATGGACGTCCCAGGACGACGAATACATCCTCCGGTTTGTGCATCACCACGGCACCAAACGGTGGTCGAGAATTGCCCGGCTATTGCCGGGACGAACGCCCAAGCAATGCCGCACGCGGTAGGTTGTACATGTGTCCTCTGTGCACCCGAGCTCATGAGTGTAGGTGGCTCAACTTCCTTGATCCCACCATCGACAAGGCCCCGTGGCGCGCAGACGAGACCGAGGTCATCTTTGCCGCGCAAGCGCGCGTCGGCAATCGGTGGGCCGAGATCGCCAAGCTCCTTCCCGGCCGGTACAATCTCCTCACCATCCACGATCGATGACAACGATCATCATATCGAACCAACGCACGGTCGTACGTACATAGGACGGACAACGCGATCAAGAACCACTGGTACTCGACGTCCCGACGAAGGCAGCGACAGGCCGCGAAACAGCGGGACGTGCTCGCCAAGCGCATGAAAACCATCAAACCCGTCCAAAGCCTCGCCCGACCCAAAAAGACGTCGGTCTCCATCACCGACGCGCCGCGGCGTCTGGCGCCACACGATTTCTCCGACATGTCACCGCCGTCCACTTCATCCTTTAGTCTCCAGAACCAGCCGTCCGCGTGGCACATGCTCCATCGCCCTCCCAACCAAAACAAGGCGCCCAACGAGCCGCTGGTTCCCTTGCGCCCGATGCCGCCGCCGCCGTCGCCCGTCAAAGTGGCGCCCCTCGAACTCAAACACAAGCGACTCGAGTCCGTGCTCAAGACTCACCACCGCGACCGCAGCAACTCGGCCGACCTATTTCTGGATTTTCTCACCCATGTGCAAAAGTAAACAAAGTCATATTGACAAGATTCATTCTTTGCATGTCCAAATATAATATAGGCCAGTGGTAGTCGTCACACTAATTGAAGTCACACACTAATTCGATGTTGAATGGGCCAAGAGTGGATAATTTGATTGGCTACTTGATTCGTGATCTGGATTTTGATTGGCCGATCGATCGATTCTCTGTGATTCGATTGAGCACCCCACCACAATATATATACTGTAGATCATACGTAGTACTCGGTGACCTCCAAATGTTAAGATGGTCTCCATTTGTTAGGAACGATAACGTTTACAATTGTTAGGCGCAACGGTAAACATGGTCGACAATTGTTAATAAGGATCCGATGGATATATTATATACTTTTAATAATAGTACATGGGCTGCTACATTATATATAGCAATTGGCCACCACTATCATTATTTGTTCAAGTCCTTGTAGCACATGCATTTTCCTGCAGATAAACACGTGGAAACATATATCTACCGGTAGCCACCTTTTGTGATTATGGATGGTCTACATTTGTTAAGATAGTGTCGATACTCGCTCAAGGGCTTTGATAACGTGGGTGAGGAATGCATTGCAGGGCGTGGGAACTCCAGTTTGCTGCCCATAAGCCACGATCATGTCGTTAATGGACCCGATTTCCGTCGGCTTGCGGCGCTGGATGTCTACGCACATGGAGCAAAAGTTGGCGCCCGTCGCTGCCGCCGCTGCCGTCGTGAATGCCAGCGGCGTCTGGTCCTAGTATATGTAAAATATATTATCATTAGACGAGGGATCGATGATTTAGGAGGAATAGACTATATCTAAACTAACTACAAGATCATTTCTATTTGGAACAATTAGAACGAATCAAAATCGCATTGAAAAATCAATCAATTAATTTTAACATGGTGTTCAGTATACTACCATTATTATCCATGTTGTGCATTTGTTTGCACTTTTAAAAAAAGGAGAAAAAACATGAATAATCTTCAATTGAATAGTAGAATCAAAACGCCCCGCTATGATATATATATATATATTGTGCTTTTCATGTGCCTATTTTGGGGAATTGATGAAATCGCCAACTACTCGAGCAAACGAGTATGATTGGCTACGAAGAATGAAGGTTACAATTTGATTGGCTAAAAAGATTGATTGTAGTATTGCAGTCACAAAGATACCTCTTCAACTTCGTTTTATATGAAATTTTGAAGGTCCCGGCGATTGTTCGGCGGTTCATTCACCCAACCGCCGGTGGAAATTTAGAGTAGAAGAGACAATATTTATATATATATATATTGTCGATTTGATACAAATTTGGGGAGGGGGTGCAATCGAATCGCGCCGACCAAACCGATCCACAATCGATCTGATTGGTTGAATTTCATTGAGAAGGTTTTGATTGGTGAATAATTTGAGCTCATCTGAGGTAGCCAATCAAATCGATTTAAATTCCAACGAGAAACCACGCCACAACACGAAATTTCACTCGAAAGCACAATATATATATATATTCATTGTTTCTATTATTATAAATATATATAGACGTACATGGAGGTTGAGCGTGATGCCTTGGGCGTTGGCCACGGCCGCCACTTCGTTCACGATGGCTTCGACGATCGCCAAATTGTCTTGACCTGTGACCACGCTCTCGTTCCATCTGAATATCGATATTGAAGGGATTTCTTCCCAGTAGTACCTTGTTGGGGACGTTCAGAATCGCGCCAAGGGGATTAATCCCCGCGTTGACCATGAGTTTGGTCCACACGACCGATTGCAGGTCGTGGGACGGCACCAATTGGGATTGGATCCCTTTTGAAAATGAAAAAGTGAATGGGATATTTCCTCATGGACCCACACCAATCCCATGGGAGATTTCCCATTAGTCGTATATATACCTGATGCTGCCAAGAGCGTACACAAGTGCCCCAATGTGTCCTGGACGGAATCACTCAAATGTTCGGCGTTTTGGATGATGGTCGTGCCGGCGCCGCCTTGGATGACGGAGCCAGGACCGATGGACACCCCGCTCATGTATGTGACACCGTGCAGCACATTGTCGGTCTCGAGCACGTCCTTGAGGATCTTGACGTTGCCCAGACCTGTATTGCATATCATGAGAACGAACGTCGTGGAGACCGAGAAGTACGTACCATTCTGGAGAGATATCACCAACGAGTCTTTGTTGATGGCGTTCCCAGCCTGTTCGAACCATGGGATGTACATAGTCAGGGATCGATATGCACGAGGTCACATATCGTTGAATGGAAGGTTTAGGATGCACCTTGAGCCGCGCCGCGACTTCGTACGTGTCTGTGGATTTGACGGTCACAAGCAACGCGTCCAGCGACCGAGCTTGCTGGACAAAGTAGTCCGTGCAGAACGCATCGGCGTTCGGCGACGTATGCGTCGGTACCTCTAGCACGAGGCGTCGCTGTTGGTCCAAGATGGACACCTTCTTCAGGTGCGGGAGGTGGGCATGCTTGACGAGGGCATAGATCTGGTTGGTTCTGTCTGTCTTGCTTCGCGGCATGTTGCGCGGGTTGATCTGATGGAGGATCCGGTTAAAGAAGAGAGACCCGATGGCCCCAAGCCCCACCACGCCGACCTTCATGCCGCCGTCCGCCTCGTGATGGAAATCACCGCCGCCGTTCTCGTTTTCGTGTAAAGTTCAAAACCGACGAAATAATTGCGTTGATTTCATAAAAAATTAGACAAATTCGAGAAAACCACGAAATGTTTGAAACAAAACGTGAAAAAAACTCTTTTGTGGTGTTTTATTTTAGCCAATGAAAAGCGTCCGTGAAAATCTGGGGCAATGCCAGGTTTGGCCATAATTCCAACGCAAGATCGTTCGAAGAAGGAAGCAGCAGCGACATGTCCAAGGGAGAATGCCAGACGAAGAACGTCAACGAGTATGACAACGAGGATGAGCTGAATGAACCCCCGTCCAAGATCCTGGACGAGGGCGATATCGCGCTGCTCAAGACGTACGGCCTCGGACCGTACTCGCGCAGCATCAAGAGCGTCGAGGACGACATCAAGAAGGTGCAGCAAAGCGTCAACGACTTGGTCGGGATCAAGGAGAGCGACACGGGGCTGTCGATTCCTTCCCAATGGGATCTCGTCAGCGACAAGCAGATGCTCCAGGAAGAACAGCCACTGCAAGTCGCGCGATGCACCAAGATCATCAACGCCGGCGAGGACGACGCCAAGTACATGATCAATGTCAAGCAAATTGCAAAGTTCGTGGTCGGTCTCGGCGAGAAGGTCGCGCCCACGGACATTGAGGAAGGCATGCGGGTGGGTGTCGACCGCACCAAGTATGCGATCCAGATCCCGTTGCCTCCCAAGATCGATCCCACGGTAGTATCCATTCATCGTCGTTTCGACTTTTGTGACGTTTCGTCGTAGGTATCGCTCATGACGGTAGAAGACAAGCCCGATGTGACCTACGACGACGTGGGCGGGTGCAAGGACTCGCTGGAAAAGCTGCGCGAAGTCGTGGAGCTGCCGTTGCTGCACCCCGAACGGTTTGTCAACCTCGGCATCGACCCCCCCAAAGGCGTGTTGCTGTACGGTCCGCCTGGGACTGGGAAGACGCTGTCTGCGCGCGCCGTCGCGAACCGCACGGACGCATGCTTCATTCGCGTGATCGGCAGCGAACTCGTCCAGAAGTACGTCGGCGAAGGCGCGCGCATGGTCCGCGAACTGTTCACGATGGCCCGGTCCAAGAAGGCATGCATTGTCTTCTTTGACGAAGTCGACGCCATCGGCGGCGCCCGCAGCAGCGGCGTACGTTCGTTCTTCCATCAACTTCCATCGATATCTCATGATGGACACAGGAGGAAGGTGGCACGGACAACGAAGTCCAGCGCACGATGCTTCAGATTGTCACCGAGCTCGACGGGTTTGACCCCCGGGGGAACATCAAAGTACGTCGTTTTTTCATCTTTTTTTCATATTTTTTCATCGTTTTTCAGCAATGTTTTGGATTCGTTGGGTAGACATAAATATTTTTTTAAAATATTTTTTTTCATCCGTACATTATGATGTGTAATTTGAATGTAAAACAGTTTCACACTAATTAAAGTCACACACAAATTTCGATGTGGAAGAACCGTTGAAGCGAGAACATAATCATTTGATTGGCTTGTTGTGGGTTTTGATTGGTCGAAGTCTTGTCTACCGATATATACCGTATGGTTTGCTGCTCCTTGGATTATTGAACCAACACCCACTCGAATGCTTGTTCTGAATCGATGTGATACTAAAATGATATTTTTCCCATAATAATATATTACTATTTCCTAATGTATTTTGAAACTGGTTTATATATCTCCATATCATCGTTGTATATATATATAGGTGCTAATGGCGACGAACCGACCGGATACGCTGGACCCGGCCCTCATGCGCCCGGGGCGGCTGGATCGGAAGGTCGAATTCACGGTCCCCGAGCTGGAGGGGCGGACGCAAATCCTCCAAATCCACGCGAAGAGCATGAGTTGTGACCGCAATATTCGCTTTGAGCTCATTGCACGCCTCTGCCCCAACACCACGGGTACCACACATATATGTTGTAAAAGTGATACATTTTGAACGATTCTGAGCGATTTTACTACTCTCTGGATGAAAAGTGATATTTTGTTTTTAATTATTGATGAAAAGTGATACGTTTTGGACGAAAAGTGATACTTTTTGGTTTTTACAGGGGCGGAGCTGCGCAGTGTGTGCACCGAGGCGGGCATGTATGCGATCCGAGCGCGCCGCAAAAGCGTGAGCGAGAAGGATTTCCTCGAGTCGGTCAACAAGGTGATCAAGGGGTACCAAAAGTTCTCGTCCACGCCCAAGTACATGGTGTACAACTAGCACTTTAGTACTTTGCCACTTGTTAATCATCTTTCCAGCCTTCGAAATCCATCGCCCGACACTTATCCGAATCCGGATAGACAGAGCATACAGTCCAATCAAATAGCGGGAAGACAATCGACTAGCCAATGAAATTGATACAACTCAAAATTTCAACCAATGGTACTTCATCGATGTTTGGCCCAAGGATTTGTTTGGCCCATTTGTCGAACATTTTATAACTGACTGTGAATATGCAAAACTCCTACATTTTATATGATACTACATTTTATGGTCGATTTCTCCAAGAAACAATATCGAGGCGAGAGCATATCATGCATCTGACGGCAGCATCGCTTGATGTCTTGCATTGGACGTAGGCATCGATCCTCGAATATGACAATCACGTCGTGAGGAGAGGATGGACATGGCAGTTACACGGAAAAAATCGAAAGCGAAACGGCTGGGAGGATGTGTGCGTATGTGTTGGCATATCCAAACGCGTGTAGGTGCTGCTGGAAGTGTGACCGAGACTTGATGGACACGGCGGACGCGGCGGAGATCTCGCACGTGCATGCTGACGACGACCATCACGATGAGCTGTGCATGTACAAGTCGGGCAAGTGTAGCGAGAAGCGCTCGTGGAAGAACGGCAAGCAGCTCAAGCTATGCGACGCGCATCGATTAGAACAGAACGCGATCAAAATGCGCAGCGACAAGGGCTTGAGTATGCGCCGCAAGGCTGTTCGGGAAGAGAAGAAGCGGATCGAACGCATGCGACACGCGGAAGAGCGCAAGAAGATGTACTTGGATGCATCGTGGACGATGGGGCAAGCATCTGGAGCGACGTCGGTAAGGAACACGAGATCGCATGCTGTCGTGGCGTGAAGCTTGACGAGGACAAAGTAGGAGGACACCAGACAGACAGTGCCATGGAACGGACCGTTTGTTGACATTGGAGACGACGTGGTCACTGCCATGTGCCTCCACACGCTGGAGCGGCTCGGCAACGACGTGCTCGTGCCCCTCTATGAGCAGCATCCAGAGCTAGACGATGGTCAGAAAATAGTCGTCATGAAGGTGGCCATGGTGGAGCTACATAAGAAGATGATGCAGCAACTCCTGCACATGGAGCAAGCCGGATGGATCCACTCGACTACAACGTGGTCTCCCACCGCCGCCGATGCTGACTTGTGTTTGCATCCGGATAATTAGTTTGTTTTATACGGTACGATTTGAAAACGTAAGAAGTAAGAAGGGGAGTTAAAAGAAGAAAAAGGATGGTCATACTGGGGCTCGAACCCAGGACCCTGGCGTTATTAGCACCATGCTCTACCGACTGAGCTTATACGTGTATATAACCATAACGTTTAACGTTATTTTGTGAATTCGCTACTATTAATACTTCGAAGTACTAGCTAGTATTACTATTAATAATAGTACTCCAACGAAATTGATCCATCCTGCAGTACGACAGTGCTTATGAACATGTTGTTGTCAAATCGACGTCTTAAGAGAATGGGTCGAAGAACCTCCTAAGCCAATCAAATCACGTTCTGGTAAATTACAGCCAATCCAAATGTTTGACTCGACACTGTACCTCCGCATTGGGCAAAACCATATATATATACTAATCTTTGTATCGTATAGGTTGAACAAGCTTAAATAGGATCAAATGGATTCGAATGCAAATGCACAATCGTTCTCCCAACAGAGTCTCCGTCGGGAACAACAAAGCGCTTTTAGTAATTGTAAACTGGAGAATGAATCGACACAGCCAAATGTACAGAAGAATCGGCAGAAGAATTGAGCCAATCAGATTGCAGGAAACCATCACCAACATTGAATTAGTGTGCGACTTCAATTAGTGTGACACCAATGACCATTTTTTCCATACAAAATTCAGTACAAAGAATCGATCGATAGATTTGGCGATTCAGCACAAACGTCCAAATTGTGGGTAAAAGGAGCAATAAGTTGCTACAGTACATGAAGAATTCCGCCTTCAATGAGTGGGATGGTTCAATGGCGATCGATCGTGACTTACCAGTTAACTACACGAGAAACATTGCCAGGGACGTGCGTGTGTTGGACTTACATTACCATTCTTCCAATACTGTAATGTGCATGCATCATTGGTATATATATATATATATATTGCAAATTTCAATAATTCGTACCACTTCAAGATCCAAGCATATTTGTGTAAATACACAACGTACTTACCTTGCACTTTAGTCCGCATTACCAACGGGATGCCGTCCCTGGTCGGTCGACCAGGTTCAATATCTCTCTACAATGCATGGCAGATAGATGTATGTCCACCATGCATCGCTCGTCACTTTCGAATTCCCCCCGTTGAATAGATACACACCACGATCATCTCCATGGCATTCCCTGCCCCCTCCGCCCTTTTCGTCGCCGCCATCGCCATCGCGTCCGCGTCCGACAAGTTCACCAACGGCATCCACCGCCACCTCGAACAATCCGGCTCCGTGCCCGCTGTCATCGTCTCGTTCAAGAAGAGCCACCAAGAAGTGCTGGCCTCTGTCCCCGACATCAACTCTGCGACTTCCCGCGGCGCGCACATCGCGTCCATCCGTCAAGCGTTGGTGGCGCACGCCAAGACCTCCCATTCCGACGTCCTAGCCGCGCTCCATGCGTTCGAATCCACCACGGAAACCACGCTTACGTTTGACTCGCTGTGGGCGTCCAACGTCGTGTACATCACGAACCCCTCCGAGAGTCTATTGAACACACTTGCCGCCATCCCAAGCGTGGACAAGATCCGTCCGGCCGTGACCGCGCACCTCCCGCCCATCAAAATCGAACAAGAAAGCGCGTCATCACCCCATGCCAATGAATGGGGCGTCGATGTCATCGGCGCCGCCAATGTATGGGCCAGCGGCAACAAGGGCAAGGGCGTCGTCGTGGGTGGCATCGACACGGGTGTCCGTGGGACCCATGAAGCGCTCAAAACCAACTTCCGCGCCGATCACGGCTGGTTTGACCCGTACCATAACAACACGGCACCGGTAGATGTGGCCGGCCACGGCTCGCACACGATGGGCACGAGCGTGGGCACGACCGGCGTGGGGGTCGCCCCCGAAGCATCGTGGATCGCGTGCTTGGGCTGTGATGACCAGGACTGCCCTGAGTACGCGCTGCTCAAGTGCGGTGAGTTCATGCTGTGCCCCACCGACGTGAACGGTAACAACCCCGACTGCACCAAGGCGGCGCATGTTGTCAACAACTCGTGGGGGTCTAACGATGCGTCCGACACGTTCTATGACGCCACCATCGCCGCATGGCGCAAGGCCAACATCATCCCGGTCTTCGCCAACGGCAACGCCGGACCCAAGTGCTCCACGGTGGGGTCCCCCGGCCAAGGCAAGCTCACGTTTGGCATCGGCGCGACCCAAAAGACAGACGCCATCGCGTCCTTCTCAAGTCGTGGCCCTGCCCCTGACGGACGCATCAAGCCGGACATCTCGGCGCCAGGCCAGAGCATCCGGTCGTCGGTACCCACCAGCGACACGTCGTACGCGGTGTACTCGGGCACGTCCATGGCGACACCCCACGTCACTGGTGCCGTCGCGCTGATCCTTGCCGCCAAGCCCGGCGTCACCTACGACCAGATTTACAAGGCGTTCATTTCCACGACCGATACCGCGTCTTTGACCCCCACCAACCAAACGTGCGGCGGCGTCTCGGAGCTCCAGTACCCCAACAACGTGTACGGGTACGGTCGCTTGAACATCGAGCGCGCCATCGCGAGCTTGTCGTCGTCAACCCCGTCGCCTACCACCACCAAGCCTGCGTGCTAAACCTTAATAAACACCTTGTTTTGTCGTACATCGTGTTGGCATGATCGTGTCGTGGGATGGAGGACTGGATGGACGCTTCCGAACGACCTTACAGCATCATCATCACACATCATCCACTCGCGTGTTGTACGGTCAGAAAATGCATCAGCAGGGCGGCACAGTCCCCCGGTAGTTCGGTTGGAGAATCGAGGATGAATCGTCACCTTGAGTGTACCACGAGGCCGACTCCCGCAGCATGCCGAGAGTGGTCATCTCGACGCATGATCATATCGCTCGTGGGTGGAGGAGGTAAGTACGTTAGATGCCATCCTGCTACGTTCGTGCCCATGTTCGTTGTGAGCGCGCGCTGGACAATCGCGTTGATCCAAGTGTGCTGACATTGTGTTTCTTCGAATTATACTTTATGATTGTATTTCGTATACAAAAAGCAAGATAGTTTTTGCGCGCGCGAACTCCATGTCAAACTTCAAGTGACAAATTCGAAACCCGCTCCATTTCCAAATTCTTCATACTAGTGTAGAATGGACCAACATGCCGACAAGCGCCGCCATACGGTACATATCGCTCCGTCACAACCATCCTTTCAGCCTTCCCCCGCAGCCTCTGTTCAACCCTAACGCGGCGGGCATCACTCCATCTGAAATCAGCGCGAATGTCGCCCAGTTGCAGCGCCTGCTTCAACAAGGTCACTCGATTGCGTTCGCGCGACGGGGTTTGATCCGAATCCATGCTGGGATCTGTGCGATATGGTGCTGCAAGCCTCGTCCGGAATCAAGCGCCACCTCCTCAGTAGTTTTCTCGATGGTTGCCAGCTACCTGCGATCGACCTCACGATGGAAGTCCTTTCCGTGACCGAAATAACTGGAAACGCGTGGTAGCGCCTTCAATATCAAACGAAGGCACTTGCGTGGTTATACTACCGCATGGGACGGCCGCCTGCCTCACCAGTAGAACGTCATGAACAACTTGTTCCGTTATTGTTTGAGGTGTGCCAAGTCCTTGCCCTCCAGGAGCCTCCTCGAAGGGACCTTGGGGTCACCCCCCCATTTTGCTTTATCGATATGACCGACATTCATACCGTGTACAACCAAAGCCGTTATGTCGTGGCTTCGAGGGGAAAATGGCTTTGGGTTGCCTTTCTCAATCGTGTACTACTAGTACGTAATAGTAGTTGAAATAAGTTTTCAACCATGTTGAAAACAACAAAGTATTAATAGTACTAAGTCTTACTAGTAATACTAGTTGGGGGTGTACAACTAAGTGCCCGACACAGCGCTGACGATGCGACAACTAACGCCCACATATTAATACTATTAACAATCGTTCGACGGTAGAGTAATCGATCGTCGGGTGTTGAAAAGCGGCTACTACTTAATGATACTAAGTATTAATAGTACAAAGTCTTACTAGTAATACTATTAATAGTTGGGGGTGTACTCAACTGTACAACCAAGTGCCCGACACATCGCTGACGATGCGACTACTAACGCCCACATACTATTAACAATCGTTCGACGGTACGAGTAATCAGTGTTGAAAAGCGGCTACTACCAGTTACTGTTCGAATAAGTGTTTCAGCATTTATGAGAAACGAAGGGGAAGGAATATGAATATTTTGACCAAAGATATATCCAAGTGTTCTCAGTAGAAGAAGGCGAAACCCAATGAACTGCTTTCGCACCAGAATTCAACCAATCATGAAAGCAACACACGAACACAAATTCAATACAATCTTCGATATTAAATGGACAATTTCTATCAAAAAATTGACGAACACCCGATTTCGGGTATGGACATTCCGCCAAACTGGAACGAGGATCGGAGACCAGGGCTGCAACACCTTCTAACACGCATATATCTACTGTAGACAACACCTATGGAGTGTTGAACAACTTGAGCACCTTGATGTCGAACATGAGGATGGATGGACTTGGTTCAACTCCTGGGATAAAATAATATATATTGCAATTTGTATGTGTGTATGTATTTATTTTTGTTTCTTGTTCCTTGTAAGTTACAGTAAGTCGTATTAATAATAATAGTACTTCAGTAATACTATTAATAGATACTAACAGTACTTACTATTAATACTACGTAGTATCAATACATACTGTAGTACTGTATTTAGTACTACTACGTACCGGGGGTACCAGAATAATACTGCTTCGAAGTATTGTGGTACTACTGTACGTACTAAAAACTTAGTAATACTACGTAGAACTAATACTAACGTTACTATGTAGAACTTACTACAGTACCCCTCTCACATAACCTATTACAGTACCATGTACTGTACTTTTCGTGGATACTATCGCCCAAACTACCAGTGGCAGCAGAAAGTAGCCACCAGCGATGAGTAAACAAGAACCACTGTACGATTTGATACCACGACTAACTACGACCTACCTACCTACTAGTACCTCACATCGACTAACATCAACCAACCTCCACCACCTCGCCTTATTGATGGTACACTGGCTGCGGCGGATACTGTCCAAATGTGAGCGCCGACGTCGGCCGGCTAGGATATCCCGCCGCAGGGGACGGCGCGTCTTCGTAGTAATCGTACCGAGTGTCGAAAGTCGTCATGTGCGGACCATGATGGACCATGCGCGGCGGGAGATGGTGGTTGTCGCGATCGTACACCGCCGACTCGGTGTACGTCGAGTACGTCGTGGGCGACGCATATGAAGGGAACCCACCGGCCGTTGCGTCGGCGCGGGATGGAAACGGCGGCGGGCGGGACGAATCGTCCCTTCGTCCGAGCGGCGATTCGGTACTAGTACGGGATAGTAAGGTACTACTACTGGTGTTGCCTCCTTGGGTGGCGGAATACTTGTATCGTTGTTGGTGGTCGTCGTAAGCGCCGCCACCGCCACCGCTATCGTAGAGGTCACTTCGGGGAGTATGTTGCGAAATGTGAGTTTGGGGAGGAGGATGGTGTTGATGGAGGTTTTGGTGGTGGCTGACGCTGCCAATGTACGTTGAGTACAGACCGGCCGCATTGTCGGACGTTTCCCACACTGGTTTGAACTTGTCGGCGGCGCCCATCATGGGTATGCGGTTCTCATCTTCTTTCCAAAGATGGATGTCTGGGTGACGATGTTGTTTCATGGACTTTTTGTTCTCGAGAAGGCGGAGCTTCTCATCGCGGCGCTTGGCGTCGAGCTTCTTTTGGTGGGCGCAGGCCTTGGTGCGGTGGAACTCGCATAGCGTGTGCATGGTGCCATTCTTCTTGGTGGCGCGGGGCTGCTTGCACTTGCCATGGCTGTACCGACACGTTTGCAGCTCCGTCATCCTGGGTACTATCTCCTAACGTCTTGGTCAAATTCGAAAGTGGCTACCGCCCGCCGCCGCTCAATCAGACCCCACCTGGCAAATTGAACTTGGACTTTTAGCCAATCCCATCGCGTGAATCTTTCCATCTGATTAGTTGAACTTGTTAACTCGGCAAGGGGCCGAAACGACACTAACGTAGCCGAATTCGAGGCTTGAATTAGGCATCGCCTTCTTCCACATGGCTTCGCCAAGGAAGATGGACCAAGCTGTTCTGAATGCAGCATCTACCCCGCTCACCACGTGGTACATACATAGGCTTTGGAATGGGTGTGCCTAACATGGAAGTTAATAGAAAAGGCACAACGTACACAACGAGATGTAACTCGACTCCTTAGAGTAATTAAAGTCGATGTTGGGAGTACATACTAGTACTTACTGTACTAGGGATTCCAAACCGTTATATTAGGCATTCCACGTTGCGCGTTCTCAGAAGGTGGACAATGACTTGGGGCAATTTGCAGTGCTGAGGCGCCGCTGCGTATACAATTCTCAAAATTGAATCGGAACGTTTAAAGGAGCGACGACGCCTACGACCACGTGCTTGAGTGTTGGCGTATTGTACAGTTCTATCAAGGACGCCACTACTGTATGAAGGCAGCAATTGAATTGTGTCATCCGGCCTCCATCTGTCGTGTCCTGAGTATTTCATGTACTTCTTGGTGGACTGACGATTTGCCGTTAGATTTTACTGAAACGATCGTCGGAACCAAGTGCCCCGTTTCGCTAAAAAAGGCAGGAGTTGGAGAGACAGTTTGGAATCTTCACACCTTGGCAGCCAAGATAAGATGCCAAGCAAATGATACATCCATGGCCAGCCTTAGCAGGGACGTACGTAGCACAGCGACCACGTTACATCACTTGGACGTCCGATCTGAATTAGTAGACCGACCGCACATGCGTTCGTAAGCTCAGTACAGTACTAGTCCTACATACTTGTACTACACAGTATTCGATTTCTGTTGACTTCAATCACATCTGATACAGTATCAACCCCCTCGCACGGTTTCTGTAAGTGTTCTTCCACAGGCTACAAACGACGAAACACAAGGAACATGTGCCAAAAGTAGCTCAGCTGTTGGATCAATACCAAGCATTAACAAGGCGGCGGCCCGTGGATTGAAGAGTATGTAGTATTTGCAGCGTTGTGAAGACAACAATTAGATGCTTTGATATCGGACGCGTTGAAATCTTGGATTCTTGTGGGTGATGAGTTTCACACTGATCTGGAGAGTGATGCACCCAGTTGGTGGGCCATGTGAATTCGGTTGGCGCGTTCAGTTGTGTAGTACTATTACTAGTAGGCTAGTAATACTATTTGACCGAGAGTAAATTGACCAAGGTTGACTGATTATTTTAGCTGCGTACGGTAGGAGGGGATGGCTACTTACTCCTACTATTAATAGTGCTCTACCTGTACAGTACTAGTACACTGAAGACTATTAATACGTACGTAGTGCTCTACCTGTACTGTACAGTACTAGTACACTGAAGACCATAATTGGTGCAGATTGAGAATTGGGTGGATGCAGAATTTGTGCGGTAAACACTACTAATTTTACTTGTGCGATGGAATTCCCAGAATTTGTTGGTAATTTGTGTGGATCAATTTCGTGTAGTACAGGTATTAGGGGTTTGGGATGCATGCGACGATGCCCAATTGGTCCTGCAGTCATAGAATATGGTATAAGGACCCTTGGATATGATGTATCTGCTCTGTTGACTGTTCAATGCATCAATGCTGATTTGTGATGTTTGATTTTTGTTTCAATTCCCATGTACAAGTAAATACCAAGATACTAATAGTCCATAAATATTGTATTCCAAATTAGTGCTAATTCGTGTAGATTGAGATATACAGTAGTGCGGTCGGTCCACACTACAGTACTGTACTCCATGTGCCGTAGGTCGCGTGACGAGGTTTCAGATTCGTGCGGTCCGCACGAGTTACGGTCGACGGTGTAGTTATCTGAGTTGTGATGGTTGTCAGGCGATTTATCAGTGCGTTTCGGGGTCTTGTTTATATTGTCAAAATTGGAGGCAATCGATCGGCCAATCAAACCCAGAACGAGAATCAAGTGGCCAATCAACAATCTCTTCGACCAAATCAACATCGAATTAGTGTGTAACTGAAATTAGTGTGAGATTGGTCGTATATACAAACGTCAGTGTACAAAGAATGGACCGATAGATTTAGCACAAAAGTTCAAAAGTTGGGCAAAAGGTCCCCCAATAAGTAAATATTCTTCAAAACCATTTATATAGGTGATTGTATGGTATACTTGCGAACAGGTACTTGCCCTCTCAGCCAAGAATCTCCAAATCGAACTGACTCCGTACCATGCCGATTCCGCGGTCACATGATGACCGCTCACAAGAGTCCGAAGCGCCATCCAAGTCTTCTGTGTAGCGACACCCAACCAACCCCCAGGCCCCAACGATCGCTCGGCGTAATAGCGACCTGCGCAAGCGTGCCGATTGCGCCGTGACCGACACGTCTGCTCAACATCTCATGCAGACATGCCAGACTGCATGCATGCCCTACTCCACGTTTGGCCGGCTATGGGTCATCGCTTGCACATCGTACTATGGTTCCTCGGGAAGCGTTGTTCTTTGTATGTCGACTACACGCCCTCAACAGCCCGTCCACCGAATCTCCAACGTACCGTTGCCGCCGCTATAAAGCGGCATTTGAGGATTCGCCATTCGCCCCGCGCGCACACATGATGCTGCTTTCACCATCTCTCGAGGCCGTGGATGGCCACATCTTATCGGTCGCTCGTGTTGTGATGGATGGAGGGAAGGAGGAGGTGGAAGGTGTATTCTTCGGACACGGTCCTAAATGGGCATTTAATTCGGCTTTTTGGCCGTTGGGAAAAGCCGAATTTTGAAAATAGTCCTAATTAGGACTATTTGGAAATTTTGTGGTGGCACAGCACGGCTTCCATCTGGCACCATCATGGCGGAACCCTCGACGCCGCTGTCGACGTCAGAGATGACGCGGCTCCGCGAGAAGCGGGAACGGCACAAGAAGAACAAGGCAGACCCACTCGTACCGCTTGACGGGCTCCTGGACCGCCTCCTGCAGAAGCACATCGATCCGATCATCGTGTCCCAGACCGCGCAGTGGATGGCAGCGCATGACGCTTTGTCCGTGCAGGTTCAGATCAAGCTGCGCGCGTTCGCTCTGAGCGATCGAACCAAATCATTCAACCACAAAGTGATGCTATTCTACGTGCTCCACGAGTTCCTCAAGATCGGTGCGCCGGTCGTGGACGTCCCTTCTCGAAAACAGTCGACCGCCGCGTCCTTCGACGCCGTGCGCCGGACTCGGCATATGGAATGGATGGCGACGGTCGAGCACATTCTCCATGCATGTGTGCGGGAATACGCAAGTGTGCGGGACTCGTACAAGCCCCGCGACATGAAGCCCATCGAGGACCACCGCAAGAAACTGCTCAAGACGCTCGGGCGATGGGACGAACTTGGCATCTACCGCGGCAAGCTCAAGGAGTGGAAAAAGGTCGTCCTAGGCGAAGTCAAAGTCCGGAAGGCGCCGCCGCGCATCCTCCAAAACGTCGTCGCGCCCTTCGACAAGGAAGGTTTGGACCTCCGCCGGGAACTCGACCGCGGCAACATCGCGTGGTTCTTCGAGCCGGTCGAGTTCCGGTCGCCCCGCGCCAAGCTGCGGCACTGGCGCTTCACCGGCGCCGCCTTCATCGACACATTGGGCCGATGTCTGGGCCTGGAAGCGCATGTCGTGGTCGCCGCCATGAGCTTCTACCAGACGCTGTTCAAGCGCGGATTCTACGCCAAGGAGCGGTACAAGCTGGCGGCGGCGGCGCTCTTCCTCTCGGCTAAAGCGTCCAGTCAGCGCATGAAGCTGCTCCGGATGGTCCACGTCATGCATTATGTGCTCGAGGTATGCAAAAAAAAGTAACATTTTGGTTTGTTTCTATATATATATATATCGATGTCGACCAATATATATATATATATATCGTTGTGTATGACTGACTATATATATATAGTCAGTTGAATTTTTAAAAGATATCATTATATTCAAAAAGAATAATTTTTTGATTGTATTTTCGATGTGTGTGTCTGTGTGTGGGGGAGAGGTGAGTGGTATTGAATACAAGGACATGTACGAAATACTAGAGGTTGTAAATGGTATGAATTGAAATACATATATATATTTCAAGACTAGAGTACCCATTATGATATGTATATATGTAGACCCCGCTGGTGACAGGGGATGAGGAAAAAGAAGAGCTGGAGCGGCTGCACTTGTTGCATTACGAACTTCAAGTGCTCCAGGGCATCGAGTTCGACCTGACAATCGCCCTCCCATTCGACGCGTTTGCCGCCGCCGCCGCCGCGTTTCCACCCGCGGTCAAAGACGCCGCGTTCGTTGCCCTCAAAGAATTGTACGGATTCTAACACTGTTTGGCGTGGGATATACACTATTTGATGTGATTTTGTCTCATGTAGGTATTGGACCAAAATGTGCATCGAGTTCCCGGTCAAGACACTGGCGGCGGCGGCGTGGTACATCGCGACGGGCGCGGCAGACCCGAAGGCCATCCGACGCCTCAAGCTGGACAAAGTGCTGGAACATGGTACACATGTATCCGATATATATATATATATTAATATATTGTGAATTCGCTATAAACTTGCAAGATTCGCGTGGTTTGTCTTATGAATATTGAATCACTCTGAAGTTCTGATGGGGGTTGAATGTACTCGGTCTTTTTTCTGTACGAGCCAATCAAATCCACTCAAGATTGAATAATGGGCCAATAGCGTCGATTCATTCGATTCGACAGGGTCTGGAAATCTGTACCGAATCCACATTATATTGGAAAGAACTTGTTGATTTGTATGGGTGTGGTTGGTAGGTGTGGGCTTCTTGGTTGGTTGTGGTTTGGTTTGTGTTATAGAGATAGATAGTCGTCCAGTGTCACACACTATTTTCAGTCAGTATTCGTTGTGGAAATTGGGGCTGTGGACACGGAATTTGATTGGCTACTGGATTTGTGTTGTGGTCGTTGATTGGTCAATATATCGATTGGCAGGCGAGTTTTCGGTGCTGCTCATTCGACTGGACAAATTATTATTTTTCACGAGTTTTTTTATGTTGAGATTGTGATTGATGCTTGTGGAGTTGGTATACATAGTATGTACGATATAAGCTATTGTGCATTCGAGTGAAATTTCATTGTGGCGTGGTTTCTCGTTGGAATTTAAATCGATTTGATTGGCTACCTAAGATAAGCTCAAAATTATTAGCCAATCAAAACCTTCTCAATGAAATTCAACCAATCAGATCGATTGTGGATCGGTTTGGTCGGCGCGATTATTCGATTGCACCCAAATTTGTATCAAATCGACAATACTTAGTACCCTTTTTTCTATAAATGACTTCTATTTCCGCACGAAATAGACGAAAACACCGTACGAAATAGACTAAAATGCTAATTCATGGGGGATTGGCTGTATGTATATAGAGTGCGATGTGATCCAAGATTACTACATTGAATGCAAGGAGTGGAAGGCGGGGCAGCGGGGGGAATTTGATTCGCGAACGGAATCCGACGCGGATTTAAAGCGATATTTGGCGGCTCAACGGGGCGGATTGTCTAATTTGTTGCCGGGAATGGAAAACCCCAGGGAAAAAACCAACCTCAAGCCCGACGAGGTACGTATTCGTTGGGATTGTTCCCAATTATGTTTGTATGTAGCTGGAACTCGTGGGCGACCTCCGACTGGAATTGGCCGCCACTCAAGCCTCGGCAGCTATAAAACCACCAAAAGTTAATCTAGACAAGGAGCCGAAACCAACAGACAGGAAACCTCGGGACACCGACGACCATCATTCTCGAAGCAGGCGCCACAGAGATAGAGGGCGGTCGGGTACCAAGTATGGAGGGATGCGGAAGGATCATCACTCCTCGCGCAGCCGGTCACGCGACCGCCGACAAAAGCCGCGGCGTGACTCGACGGACGACAGACGGACTTCGAGGAAGCGAGGACGAAGCGGCAGCAGCCGGCGGCGGTCGGACAGCGACTCGAGTGACCGATACCGCAAAGATAGACGATGATAAGAATGCACACATGTTATTAACGAGTGTACTGTTTAAGTTCAGGTTTTTCCGGTATATTTCGCACTGATTCACGTTTTGTTCGCCAAGCATTCAATATATTTCGTCCAGACCCTACCGGTATATTTCACACGTTGCTCAATATATGTCAGATGATGTTCCATCTATTTCTATTTTAGACGCAAATCAAGTAAATCGCAGGTGGTGCATAGCGTTATGAACATGTCTAATTCATAGATATGAGTCGACGTGAATCCTCTACAATCTTACATCTTGTAGCTCGAGGTGTTCTGCGGTCTTGCTGAAAACATGGAAGTTAGCGCCTGATGAAGCAGTGCCTAGATTTAACTTGATTTGCATCTAAAATCGTAATATACCTTTTTTCGGTTAATTTGACGACCTCACCATACTTTTTCGTGAAATGAACAACCAATGCGCGGCGGTTCCACTTCGTTATATTTCGCCAGCAGGTTGCAGTATATTTCAAGCGACGTTCCTAATATGTCACTGTTTATGCGCTCAAATCAGGGAGTGGCTCAATATATTTCTGTCAATCTGACTTTCGACGTAAAATCCAATTCTAGGTCGATCAGGCTCCAACTTCCATGTCTCCCATGTTCTCGGCGCGGCCGTCTGCAGTGGCTCATACTGTAGTGGAGGCCCTAGGACACGTTCCTCCAGTGAACGATACAGCGTCATGCAGGACACCTCGATCTGGTGCTCCAAGGTCAGCTTGGTGCGGACCTCCTTGAGGGCCATCTGACAGTCGCAATCGATCCACGTTCAGATCATATCGACATTCCACTGAGAGAGGAGGCGGGGTTTGTAGCCACCTAAAATGTATGAGTATAGAAGTCACTGTGATCATTGCCTCGCTGGTCGGAGTGACTGATTCCAGGTTCAGCCAACCTCGAGCAGTTGATGGTTTGACTTCATCCGCTTCTGCAACTGCAGCTCAATCGCCATCCATTTTGTAGATGTCAACAATGTGACGCTTGGCAGACTCTGATATCGTCTTGAACTTGTGTATGTTGATGGCAGCGGAATCATCCGGATACCGCAACTTGAACCCTGGATGACAATGTTTATCACCAGAACAGCATTGCACACTTACATCATTGCACCAGAGACGAAGATGCAGCGACGATCAAGGGCATTGGCGCTAGGTCACCTTCAAGTGCGTAGGCAGAAGAGAACAAGAGGATATATGTGTTGAAGTAGTTCATTAGTTTACCACTCCTTAATCACTTTCCGATTTCCTATCTTGTTCGTAAGTCGCTCGCTAACGCAAGCCGCCTTCACCCAAGTCGCAAGTCGCATCCCATCAATTCAACAGGTACTGAGCCCATCCCCTACGCAAGGCAAAACGAACAAGAAGGAAGACCCATGACGACACCCAACGCCATGAAGCTCAACGAGCACAATTACTGTGATTGGAATACATACTTCCAAGGCCGCCTCATGGCCAAAGGGATCCTTGACCAATTCACGGTACGCCCGACGAACCCGCCCGACCTTGACGACCAAAAGGCTTTTGGAATTCTCATCGAGACGATCGAGGCAGGGCAGTACCGTTACGTGGAAGGCGCGGCCAACGTCAAGACGGAGTACGAGGCCCTGGCCATCCACCACCGACCTACAACAAAGATCCATCGGATCCAAGTCGCCATGGAATGGGCGCGGTTGTCATGGGATATGCGCCAAGAAACCTTACCATACTTCATCCATCGCTTCCAAACGCTGGTCAAGCGTCGTCATGAAGTCGGCGCGCCGCTATTCACCCCATCTCCACCCCCGCTACAGCGGTACCATCGAACCAAGATGAGTTCGATCGCGTCTAATTCGAGAAGCCAGAAGAATACGTCGACCGTGCCTGGCACCCATCGATACGACCCCGACGTATAGTCACCATCAAAGGTGTGCCATACATGGCCAACTTCATGAGCCGCGACGATTTGGCAGTCCTAGCGAC